TTCGCAGCCATAGAGCAACACGGTGCGTATCGTTGCGCAATACATACACGCCCTTTCAGTGAAAGGGATATGTCACGCCAGCGCCAGAGATGTCGCAGATTAGAAAACGTTAACTAGCTTTGATCACCCGTTGAGAGATCTCTTCGCCTACACCTCCGCCAACTGTTATGCGAATCCCGAGGTAGACAAAACTTTCGACTACCTCCAGGGTTTCATTACCCAACGAAAGCGCACGAACGGGTTCCTGCCAAACTAGCAACAACACTGCACTTTGAAAGTGCAAAGGACGTAACAAGTAACCTCAATTGCCAAACGATTCAACGACTATTGAATTGTTGGTGCGTTGTCACCGAGTAAGGGAATATCAGCGGCACATGAGCACGACTCTGTCTCCAGGAGGAAAATGGGAGGCGTAACAAAATTTCCGTTTCTACCTGGATAGAAATACCACGAATTTAGCTCACACATGATCGCTTACTCTCATCGTGTTCACCCTCGACAAGCTATGCAGAAATTTGTCACACAAAAGTGAGAAACATAAACCGGTTTGACTGAGCAGTCGATCAAGCCGGTGTACGTATTGGTTCTCAAACTATGGGGCTTGAAACCCGGCCATTCTCATTCATGGCAGATAAATTCCCTGTCGCCAGGCTAAACATCGGGCTGTTTCGTTGTAACTTCAGTTCACTTGCCATCTAAGGGGCTCAGTGTGGGAGAGGAAACAGATTCCAATCAAGTGGTGTTGATCAGACATTGTATTGAAAGGCGATAGATCCTCTTGTGAAAACCACAGAGAAATTAGTTTAATCAACATCGTTCATCGATTGTCACTGCACATAAACGGTACAAGCATGAGAACCAGGCTGGTGTTAGACTTTGTCGAGGTTGTATAGACCACATCTTCACTCTTCATCAAGTTCTAGAATACAGACCTTCCTCTCGTACATCTATCATTTCTATCTTCCTCGATCTGAAAGCGTCTCTCGACCCAGTCGACAGCTCTAAACTCTGGCGCTGCCTGGCTCTGAAGACTGTACACGAGAAGTTTATTTCAATATTGCGATCCTCTTATACTAATAGATGAAGCCGAGTTCGAACTAACGACACTTTTTCGCCCGAGTTCGCTACCGAAAGTGGTATTGGTTAGGGTTGCCCCTCTCCCTGCTTCTATTCAACTTTGTCACAATGTAATTTTTGAAATAACCCTATCGTTGTGCGCGGAGAGCGGCATCGATTTGCTCCCAGGTGGCAGACTGTCTGACCTGGAGTATGTAGACGACATTGCATTGCTAAGTGAAGATCCAAGTAAGTTGCAAGCTTTTCTGGATAGTTTGGGTGCCAGCGTAACCATGTTCAGTGTGTTTTGCACCTTTAAAGCGTGAAATGCTGTTACAAGATTGGGTTGGCTCAGTCCCTAACCTCACATTGACTAAGGATGTACTAGAGGAGGTTGAAAAATTTTGTTATTTAGGAAACTATATCTCACCTACAGAAGGTGTCGCAGATGAAGTGTCGGCATTTGCCAACTTGAGACCTTTGTGGCGCTGTCGCGACATCCGGCTGTCTGCGGGAGGGTCGACTATACGCTGCAGCAGTTCGGTCAGTTCTGCTCGACGGTGTAGAGATTCGGTCATTAAGGAAACGGGATGAAAATAGATTGTCGGTGTTCGAACACCGCGGTCTACGTCGCATTGGACGAGTCTGGTGGGGAAATCGGACGAGCAATGCTGAGGGTAGGAGCACAGTTTTAGGTGGTCACGGTCGTCCACTGGTGCAAGTGGTCGACCTCCATAGATTACGCTAATTGGGGCATGTGTTACGCATGTCACCAAATAGGTCGCCTTGGTGCACAATTGCCGAGGAAGGTAGTGGGTGGAAAAAAGCCAAGGGTGGTCCAAATAAGACCAGGCATGAGAGTATGAAAAACCTAACTAGGAGACTGGATCACATAGGTCGTGACTAAAATACAGCAACCAGAATCGGCGCACAAAAGTGCATGTAGAAGGGGTGTAAAATCTGAAACTGAAGCAACCGTCAAACACTTCACCGTGCACAGTAGTCACAAAGATCTACTGTTCAGCTGTGAAAATCGGTTAGGCCCAGATAGTTGGAGCAGTGAAAGGTATGACCCGGATAGGAAATATATGTTATTTAGTTGGACGGTAATGAAGTGGTACATCGAACAAGTCTGATAGCGGTGAAATCAGGACCCCAAAAATGAAAGTAAATAACACTGCTCGACCAGACAGGCTACAGGACAAACATTTTTTCCATATGAATACTAATGGCACATGCTGAATTTTTGTGTGAAACTGAAACCAGAGGTGAAAAAACCAGACCCCCACAAATGAATCACTGAATTGAGTTCAGTTCATAAAATCTTGCATATTCGCGTTGCGGTATCAGTTACGTCATCCATGTACATGTGGGAATAATTCGTCTGAGAAACCAGATCGCAAGGCAAAGGTAAGCGCCGAATAGCAAACTTTCTCCACTTCCCCTGTTGCCTCTCCTGATAGAGTGGGTTGGGGAGCTGCAACCACCAAGTCCTGTAACTTTGGCAGTGCAAAACGCGTTCAGAATATGACTAAACTAGCACCCATATCATACGGTGAAGTACATCTGATTTGCTTTAAACGGCACTGGTTAGAATCAACGATACGCCTCATTAGATCGGAACCCGTGATTAAGCAACAAAGATCCTAGATAATCAAACAGAGATGATAAACAAGAAATGGTACGCTTAATCGGTGGGGACCAGCTAAACTGGAGCACTAAAAGCATCAGTGCCTAAATGTTTCAACGTCAGTGGACGGTGTTTGGATCATTCTAACCTACGAATCAGCTGCGATGATTCCGCACGCCCCTCCCCCCTCTCCTGACATACAATGCTTGTTCTTCTCATTCATTTATAAGGCAGATAAAGCTAAAATGAACCAGTATGTTTAATTTGTCATTCCATTATCCAGTAACCCGACTAAATCAATGAAACCATGTGTTTATTTCGGATTGAAATCACTGCCACTGTTTGCAAATCATCAAGACCAAGCCGGTCGATGTGCTTCAGAGAAATGTTAACAGTTCACTCGAGAGAACAGCCCTCAGGAGTAGGTTCTATCAAAGTTCAGTTGGTGCGGTTTCTTCTCGTGTAACTGGTAATTGGACGAGCAATAACCGTCGCAAACACAAAGTAGATAGTGCGAATAATTTTTACGTAGGAATAATGCACACTTATTCCATCAGAAAACTGAACAAAACAAACTTGAGTGCAAACCATTGCTGTGTGAGATGTATCACAGAAACGCGCGCGAACAACAGCCTGAAGAGTTACTGATCGTGCGACGTGAACAACGAGGACCTTCGGGTAGGGAATACAGTGCACAACAAACGCTACACGACAGATCTTTAGGTCATTAATTTCGTAAGCAATAGGAGTGGTTGTCACATTGAGAAAAGAATAATATTACATGAGAGTATAGGAGGATTTGATTTAATTAAGCTGGGAAGCACTGAGCAGCTGTTTCGATTTGGTTGGGTCTCAGCAGCAGTGCGAATCCATCGACCCAACTGGGGATCGAACCCGGGACCTCACAGGCAGAACACAAGCATGCTACCCACTCGACCACTGGGCAGCCGATCAGGTCGTTTTTTATTTTCCATTTACACAATATAGCACAACCCATCTTTGCTAGCTTGTTGCGAGTACCGATCCTTGTTCATCTCCGAACTAGACTCCCAAGTTATGACTCAGCTTGTAACTTTTACAACCTGATTGATTGTTGCAGCTGTTGTAGCTTTTCAGTTCACACGACGAATTCCCTCTAAGAAAAGAATAATGATATGCGGCACACATTGAGAGCAGAACAGTTCGCGTTCGGAGTGCGGAATAAGAAAAGTGCTAACACAGCACCCGGAAATTGCCGTTTGGGTTTTATCTTTGGAACCAATCCACAAATGACAGCGATCAGTGCAGGGGTAATTATGATTCTACATTTTTTTGCAGCGCAGTTTGCAAAATACGATTCAGACGTCATTTCGAACGCCTTAAAGATGAGACTGATTCTCAACAAAAAAGCGAGTTATTTTGGAATACAAACTGTTTCTAAATGGTGATTTAATAAATTTAACTCAACACAATATTAATGAGCATTGATTTACAAGAGTTGGCATCGATAAAATGGCTTTCTACTGATTGATCAGTTTGTTGAAAACCAGTCCTTATAAACATTCCGGCCGGATTTCGCGTATTCTCACCATTAGTATTGCTGAGTTGAATTGGAATACATACACAAAAACACATTCTTCGTGGAGTAAAGTACATATACAACAACCGAATCCTAGCAGTCACTGAACAAGGCAAACACCAACCTGCCATGTAAATGCGTCTCCACGTTGTTTTTCAGCTTCCAACTCCCGAGCACTTCGGGGAAACGCATTGCGCCAGAACAGTAACATTTTGGGCAAATGTGGTTTGACCAAATCCGGTCCCAAGGTCATACAAGCGGCCAGCAAGGTCCATCCAGCCTGTGTTCGAGGCAGTGTGAGGCGACTGTTCTGATTTGCAGCACGTAACAGTTCGTCGGATAGAGTGAACACCTGCATATTTGAGTGAATCGAATAACCCCGAGGGGATCAAAAAGAGATTTGCCTGTTGTAGTGAATTTTAATCAGAGCGGGGCGGATAGTTTATGTTTAGTCTCTAACCTACTTTCGAGCGGACAGATGCAAGCAGTCGGACAGGATTGTAAACATGAGCGAAAATGAACATGTACATATGAACCGGGGGGGGGGGATGTGCCCATGCTTAAACAAACAGATTGTATATGGATGAGGGGAGCCAGGGTGATGGTGATAGTTAGCACGGTTGTATGAAAGACAATGTGAGAAAATATTTCTCGCCTAGATGAAGTGATTAACTGAACTGCCGCACGCTTCAAATGAAACTCGAACAATCAAGATGGAATTGATCCAGTACGCGATCGAACAAACGGATGAATTTTCGACCGGATTTGAAAAGTCCGACAGTGTTCGTGATAGACTGATGGTTACGGTGGCAGGAATGACCGTAGGAGAAGCAGTCAACTACTAAGTGATAGCTGTGTTCAGTTCTATTTGAAAAACTGTTAATCCTGTGCAGTCATGCTCTGGTTTCGAACGTTGCTTCACGGTCAAACATCGAGTGCAAAACAAAAACAGACCGAAGGAAGATCAAGAGTATTTTTGGAGCAATGATAATTACATAGAATTCAATATATGTACATTAATTGTTCACAAGCCTAATAGTGAGATAAATTCGGATCCTCGTAAGCAAAGTGCAAAGATATTATGCACGTCAAAATTAAGAGTACAACCAATTCTCTTTTCATCTTACTTCGTGAATGCAAGATTTACAAAGATCAGTTCTAGTGTAGCGAAACCTAAAGGGAATCTCTACTAAGAAATGCAAGAAAATATAGCGTATCATTAGAATGTGGAAATATTCGTGCCAAATATGCACACACGTCTGAAACCAGACAGTGCCAAACAAATCATGGTACAATAATTTTTATAAAAAAAGAAAAACGTTCCATGATTTGCATGTGGGCGGACTACTGCCAGGTTGCTTAGGCCAAGGCAGGTGAATTTTATTGAGGAATCCACAACCGTAGTCTTTGGCTGGCCCAAGCCTGAACCACAAGACCTCGGGGCGGTGTGTGAAAACCGCGTTCCATTGTTTGAGTGAGCTGCCGCTACCTGTGTTGTGGCCCATAGTTTCAGGCCCCCATTGGGAAAACCATTTTCTTATTTGCCAGATTGTTTCTCTCACTCCCAAAACATATGAGATGCCTCCTTTTTGCACCAACCACAGGATAACACAGAGTTCAACTAGTGAACATTAACGATGGGAACGAGCAGGCATGGATATACGTACCGAGTCCAGAAATGCAACAATGTGAAGAATTATTGTACAACAACGATTTGCGCCACGACCAAATGAGGACGACTCTACACACAGGTTTACCCTAGAGTTCATCAGACTGCTTCCAAATGCAAGAGAGTTCGTCATTTATTACCCACTGTGCTGATGAAGCGTATCGTATGATCGGTGACCTATGTACTCGACAGAAGCACAGAAATGGTCGGACTATGTGGGACATGGCACAGAGGTAAGGAGAATTTTACCGTGTAGATCGCTTTAGAGACCTCGTAACTGGAACAATTAGCGGATGATATTACTGGGTTTTGTAAACCATGGGTACCGTGCGCCTACTTACTTTCGCTATGCATTTTATTAACCCGAATTACATGTTTATCCTGTCACAGTCCTCGTCTATTTATTCCTATTCGTCCACTACTTTTCATGGGGGGCCAGATTCAGTGCACGAAAGTGCAACAATGGTGTTTGTACAAACTGGAACAGAGGGGGAATGTCCATAACAAGTGGAACAGAAATTTTCGGATAGTACAACACTGGATTGTTGTCCTCGAGCAATCAAACAAAAGAAAATACAAAACAGACTGAACGCCACAAGCACAGACGCACTTGTCGTAGTCGATTAGCTGGAATGCCCAAGGGGCTCACACTAGCTCCGGCCAATATCCCCGCAATAGCATTGCTGTAGCCCAGGATAGCTTCTGAATTGTTGCGTTGAGCTTGTTGAAGCGAGGCTATGCATCGATCCAGTAGGACGGTACGCTGACTCGGTAACACGATGGTCAATTGTCGCAAACAATTTGCGGCAGCCAAACGAACTGGGGCACTGCTGTGACTCAGAGCACTGCACAACAAATCGGGTAATTGAACCGGCGACTCCACAAGTTGACCTGGGGAAAAAGTATGTATGAAAAGAGCAAGTAGGTGTTGGACGAGCAAATAAAATTTGTCAGGTACACACCGCCCAAATGGTGAGTAAAGTGTTCTAAATTCATACAATAGAAAACAACTAGCTTAATATTTACGCTGCACAGCCTAGTGGGTTGAACGAAAGGATTGGATCAACTTTACAGTTGCAGACTATCTGTCCAATTATGGAAACAAAAATCTGTACCGAACCACAAAATGTCCTGATAGGATAGACAGTGTTATGCACCATAGGACAGTGTTGTTGACTCCTACTAAAACGAGGTTTGAGCTTTTAACGTGGAAAAACCAACAGTTATAAGATCAGTTGGAAGAAAATGTCACAGCTGAAGTCATTCGCTGCGGTCAACACGAAAATCCTGTTGAGAAACGGACTAGTCGAAATGATGAATGGGTCAACACTTTCTCATTTTGCTTCCTCAAATGTGCACAAGTATCCCTGAATCCGATCGTTGTGATGCCTGTTACTTGCCCTGCCCCCCCACCCCCCAAAAAAACCGTTAATTCGAATCCTATGCAACCCACACATTTACTTCAAGTTTAGGCAGATGAAACATATGGTAACGGTTAGTGCGGTTTATTTCATAAGTTTAATGACAGTGGTAATAGTGATTAATTTTGCAATATAGTTATATGGGTAATTGTTCATTCGGCTCAGTTACCTTTTCCCTTTATCAAGACTGTTAAGTTTAGTTTAGTTTCGAAACCTCTTAACACGACCACGAGCGAGGCATTCACTTAAAGAGTTTACAGTAGGCATGAAGGTATGAGGAAATTGTTTGGTCTAGGGATCACAGATTATTTCCCAAAAATAGGAATCATAGAAAAAGAGAAGGTTGCGTGAATACTCCAAGTCTACGATAGGCGAACAGTCGAAACGGGACGGACCTAATTCGATGCTATCACTCCAGAGTCATCAAAAATGGATTTTACTGTCCGCCTTTAGCTGTTCAATTTGTGATCAATGCAGCGCTACAAATTTCGTGCGCAATTCACCGATCGATTGCACGAGTTGAGCTAGAGTCAAACGAAGGTGAGGATAGGTTAGTCGTTTTTTATTGCGTGTTTGGACCATATTGCAACTATAGATGGATGGCGTGACGCGGTATATGGCGAGCTCGCTCGCACACGCACACAAGGAAACAGATGGCATGAAGTTGTTTGAACCGACCCCTAAGCATGTTCCATTTCACCCCGCCCGTTTCCGATTCCCATCTTCGAGGTTGGGTGAAAGCCTTTCTCGAATACGATCGGCCTGGTGAAAAGGAGAATAAATTCGAAAGCAAATCAAACTGGGGCGGGGTGGGTGATGGATTTGATCCACGGCATACTCGACTATCAATAACAGACCTGGAATGACTTGACAAAACGATAATCTGATTAAGTCTTACAAAACGAGATGCAAAAGAGAGCGACAGAATTTGATAAAAAACACTTTCGAATAACGCCGCATCGTGAATAAACAACGAAATATCGTTAAAGGAACTGATAGTTATTTTTACTCCAGAGCTAACTTGAAAACATTTATAATTCAATTCGCACTTCAGGTAAATGGCAATGAAACTGAAGTATCGAGACAGTGTGTATACAAATGCATGTTAATATCGAACATTTGTGAAGACGGTTCTACAGATAAATGTCTTTCGGATAGCGCGAGAGCACGAAATACGTCAACACAATAAGAATCTATTTTAAGAGATGAGATTGCAAACCACGGAAAAAAATAAGAATACGCATTTCAGTGGTAAGAGGTTACAAAACTTGAATGCCCAGAACAAGTGAGGTGTGCTTTTGGATTTTAAAAGCATCACTAAGTTGTAAAATAAAACATGAGCCATTATTTATGTTAAAAGATATTAATACCCAATTGATAAATTTCGAGTTGGTGATTTCAGGAGACGTCCGGGACGACTAGTAATTACAAAGCTCCAACCGGAACGCCGGTGTCTATCCGTTGCCGCTCGAGCATGTACTACGATTGTTTGAGTTCTCAGTGTATTATTTCCAGTGATAATTTGATGAAACAGTGAAACATCACATTTCACAACAAACTCATGAAATGAGCTTCAGAAATTCTCCTAGTACTAATCAGTTCACAATATACATTTGGAAACAGGTTTCTTTGCCTTATTAGATGAACCATCCCAATGAATTGTGGAACTATAATATGATGGATATGACGGTGAATGGTTGAAGTTCTGGACGCGGATGATGGTATTGGAGGCTCATTTGAACTGAGTGCTGTTTGCAGACGTTTCGTATCCAGACTAGGCGACTTGATACCCGGAAGCCGAACCAACGAAGGGGTCTAGCCGGGATACGAAAAGTTTGCAAACAACACTTCCATCTCGAAGAATCCTCCAACACCAACGTAAGACGCGATTAGATTGACATCAACTTTCGAAGTCAGTTCATAAGAGCACAATTTGAATGAAAGGTTACTGACTTACCGGAAAGAGAATCCAACCAATGCAATAGTTGTGTCAGCTGATCCATGATGGAGATCATCACATGTTGTTGCTGCTGTTGCTGGCGTTGCGTTCGACTACCAGTACGCCCAAAACCACGTCTTCCAAGGCCCGAGTCAGCGTCTGTCATGCCTCGACTACTGGTTTGATCCGCAACTGATCCCGAGCTAACTGATTCACTCATATCTTCACCTTGTGCGCTATCTGTCATATAATCCGGTCCGTCTAAATTTGAATCGCCCAACCCGCTCACATCGGAACTGACACTAATTCCACCGGGGCCACTAGACTCGTCCAAACCCTGCGCGACTTGCAACCGCTGCCGTAACAGAGAGGCTAGTTCCCGAGCTGCGACCAACTGAACCGGTTCGGATAAAAGACGACGATACAATGTGCCGAGGATGAAACCGACACAATTCCGCGCGTTAATTGCTTCCGCATGAGTGGGAATGGCACGCGCATTAGCCAGTAGACCGGTGCAGTGAGCGATAATTGATGCCAGATTGGCTTCAAAGCACTGTGGCCCGAGGATGGTGAAGAATTCGATGTAGGCCTGTTTTGAAAGAAACGGGCAATGGAAGTAACACGTTCATCAAAAACCTACGCACAAACAAAAAAATGCACAAAACTTGTTCCATTAATAAACTTGGTCAGAACACGGAGTCACACAATTAGAAACACTTATTCTTGAGAGTGGATATCCGCACGGTCACTGACAGAATGAGACGTGAATATTTTATCGCAAATGCCTTGAAAACAGACAACAAACAGCATACTACTAAAGTGGTGTGCTAGCACAACCGAATAAAATTTGGTGCCCCGTTCAGTGATTCTCCTTGACACTGATTTGTTTTACAGCTGTTCTTAGATTTTACTGCATGAAAGAATGACTCCATAACCTAGAAGAACCATCGTGCGAAGATGACGAGACTCAAATCATCACACTTTTGCTAAGTGATAGTAACAAATAGTACATTCTGATCAGAGTTTCCCTATTCCCGTTGAAAGATAACAATATATTTTCAAAAATATTCCCTTTGGTAGGAAATAATTTAATTTAACATTGATCGTTTTGTTTCTTCATGGGGAGCAAGACTCCGTTGTGTTCTCCTCTTCTTTTGCTTTCTCTCTTTCTGTTAGGCAATCTAATTTCATAGTCTTAATGGGGTTGGCTCTGTTTATGCGGCTATACACTTCACGCTAATAAACATAATAAAAGATGACGTAACATGACTACACAATACATTAATTTGTCAAGGTTACAAGACCGAGTCATAACACCCTCCTTATGCGATCCAGAAGTGACGACAACAATCGAGACAGATACGCGCAATGTAAGCGTAAGATGATGACTGGGTACAAAACGACCGTATATGTCTTTATTTTCCTTCTTCAAGCCGTTCGCCAAAAGTAACACGAGCAAGCAATAAATTACTGTCATGTTTTATTAGCCTATTGGTGCAGATAGCCGAGAAAGACCGATTCTTCGAAAGCAAATTTACAATGCAACAACCAAAGTGACAAATGTCCCCAACGCAATAATTTGTGGAATTAAAATACACATTAGTCTACCGAATCGTTCGTCACTGGTCAATGCATAGGGCATTTTAATCGGGGAAGATTTGAATTGGAAGAAAAGAAGCGCAGTCATATGCATGGAAGGGAATCAAATGGATGCTCAGTTGCTAGCGCTCCGTATTCCGGTGGAATGAAACAGAAACTCAGAAGCAGATGAATGCACACTGGGTGGTCTCGCTGAAACAAAAAGCATGCCCAAGTTAATGCACACGAAGACGAACCACAACAGCGATCGCGGAACTAGTGGGAGGTGTGTGCAGAGGAAAGAGACAAAATTTGTAAGAATGCTGTGCCAGTAAGTCCAAATAGAAGTTTGAATGAATGCAACATCCTGATGAGTGAAACAAAATAGTAACAACGTATCTTAATAAGACTAGGTTACAGAAAATGTGACAATGACTCATCTAGGATATCCTAAAAGTGGTCAGTGGGTTACGTAATCCCCTCGAAGGAAAAGGCCACTGAACTCCAACCAGTAAAATGGGCAAAGCATTACATTTCATTTTAGAATCGGAAATAAGAAATCGTACTGGTCAACAATTGCCACTCTTAAAGACTACGCGATGTGAGTTTGATCCAATCGACCGAAGATCGTTATCGGTATACTGAGCAAGGTGCTCACCAAAATGATGCGCCCGAGATTGAACTCGTTTTCGAGGGTACCTCGTTGCCCACCGTCAAATGGAGTTTCAGTTATTGCAGTGAAAAAAAAACTCTGATTGTGGACTACTTTCGATTGTCATTCGTAGAAGATGCGTAAAAGTACGTCAAAAGACAAATAATATAGTGAACAAGCTTGTTTTCATAACTTCTTCGGGTATTTACAGGTGTTTGTTTATAAATAAGAGAAACGGTGATTGGTTTATTAGGTTAAATGGAAACAACAATGTCCATCAAGTTCTATGGGGCACATGGAGAGGGAGGCGCAACCATGTCACTTGTAAAAAGTTTCCATTGCCTTTTTCCACGCGCGACGTCTCACGCCGTGTTGTGTCATTACAGCGTGATTAAGGTCTTGGTTCGACTCGTTACGTAGATTGAGACGGGGCTGGGGCAACTGGAGTGCGGTGACCATTTTCTTCTGTTTGCATAGTGGTGGGTTCAGGATTTTGATTACTACTGTTTTTGCCGTTGCGAACGTGCTTCAATTTGCATTGGAGCACTTTTTAGATAAATTTAAATGCATCACTGTCTGTTTGGTCCTCGGTGTCAGCGAGTCGGGACATAATCGCACTGGTTCAAGTTCTCTTGCATTCCGTGGCTAGCCACACCAGGTTATATTCTCTGCTTCTCTGTGGACACTGCCTCACTGTTAGTCCTACATAACTTGCCGAACATGTGCAAATGGAAGAATATGGAATCATGGATGAGCAGAGAATGGGCAGCTTATCCTTGAGGTTTGTACAGAGCTTTGATCGACCTGTAAACGCAGCACGCAGAATGGCGAATGGATAAGTTCATGTGATTACTTTGTCTAAATATCTTCCCGATAGATGATCACTCGAAACTCCTTTGAACGGGAGGTATGTAAACAAATCTTTCTTTATGGTCATGGACACTGGATAAAGTGGGCTTTTTGATTATGTTGTTTTCGATGAAATGCTCTGGCTACCTATTATTTAGGAGTGTGAACTCGATTTCTCTTAGTTCGTCCTACACTACATCTTTCAAACTTTGAAGGCCAGACACGGTGCCAAGTTGTAGAAACTTTGGAAGTGGATGCATTGGTTGTTCCATGTTAATTTGCCGGCGCGTGATGTTTGCCGAAGCAGGTAGCGGATAGAAAAAGATCAAGGGCGGTCAAACTAAAACTTGGCATGAGGGCATGAAAATCCTAACCAGGACACTAGGCCACAAGATACCGTTGGGCTCCATGGATGGGGACCTCGAGATCATGGTAGCCGGTGGTTGGAAACTCTGAGTGATACAGTTGGGTGTTGAAAACAGTGGCGCTCGTGCATCTACTCATTATTCTTGCAACCCCAGTCTATATGAATTCTCTATCTTCTCTTTGATTCTTCTCTCAACATTCCAATTTTCATTTTTCTCTTTTATCCAAATGGGCGGCCAAAAGAAAGCAACAAAAACCGGCACATGAAGATGCATGGTTAATGGTTGTAAAAATTGAAACTGAAACTCCCCGTTGGTTTGCGAAAAACCGAATGGCATAACTTTCCATTTGGTCATAATTATTGTCAGTAGCACAGCGACCAACATCCCTACCAGTGATGCGGCTGCATACAGTAAGTTGAAAAGATTCGACAAGAGCACAACCGACGCTCACTCTACTCCGCTCTTATCCCACTACAATGTATTTGTGCAGATTGTACATGTAACTGATGGCCGAAGAATGTAAATCACCTGGCAGCCTGAGAAAAAACAACCCGTTTAAGCACAATGTGACCACGTGTTTCAGCTGCGTCATTTGCATGTGCACGAATAATTATCACGACAAAGCGCAGGTCCGGATCGATACAATGCTGAAGTGTTTCGCTTAAAGCTTAATCGTATACTTACTAACTGCATACTGAGAAATCTGAGTGGGAAAAAAATGAAAACTGTAGTCTGATTTATTTGACTCCTCGCGAACTAGACTAGAGGCTAAAATGGGAACATGCGATCCAGCAGCTTCAGTCCAGGAGAAAAGAAATAGTTGGGGGAAGGGACCGCGATGCGTTCGTGTAAATTACGATTGTCACAGATAAGAACACGAAAAGGGCTTTCACATCACATCCGCTTTAACTAGTTACAGCAGAGCCTACAAGGAAAAGTATTGTTGATTCAGAACGTTTTTCAGTCAGCAAAAGCTTGTGTAAGGGGGTGAACGGAACAGATGTCCAGAGATGAACGCTCATTATGTATTCTCGATACTGATTCACCGTACGGCAGTGTACGGATTGATCAATGAAGCAGAGGTAAATAGTTCTACAATGGTAATAAATAAATTGCATGGCGTTCACATGAAATGATGCTTAAAATTTATACATTTGAATAGATGGGATTATCTTGAAGTGTATCTTCGCAGTCGCGGTTAAATACGCATGATTTTGAGACTAGTCAAACATCATCGGCAATTATTAAACTTGCTCGATAGACATGAAGCTGTCCAGGTGGTTTGAATGGCTCAATCAGCAGTTCGGTCCGAAAATCGCATTCCACTAATAGCAAGATATCACGGAAGGAAGATATATGGTGGTGAAACGCTCTCCCACACAGACCAGTGATCCTAATTGAGTTTTATCAGAGTCAAGACTTCAATTTTGATGGATTGGGTTCCCAGGTCTTACGATCGAATGATAAGGTTTCGTAATTGTAGGGTATATCACCTCTATTGAGTTATAGATGGTAAAATTTCCGGTTGACTACATTGCGACTGTGGCACTAGGTGCTTCATACGCGTGCTAAACCGTGGCACATAAAATAAGTGCTCGATAAAAAGCACTGGATGTCTCTTTCGACATTGTGAGCGTGCGTGTTTGTGCGGGGGAGGGGATACCACTAGTGTATCCATACCGGGACTCGAATCATGAACATTCGGGATTTCAGGGCCCTAAACTGGAGTTTATGACTGGTTGAAAAAATCAACATAGATGAAAGGATTGCTTTGTGTAATGAAAATCACATGAGAAGAGCTGTTCATCAGTTATTTCGCGTTGTCACTAAGACCAAGTGTAAGACTGCATAGAATGAAATATGTTTCACCACTCCAAACCTCAGAACCTAGACTGTCAAGAATATAATCGAAAACCTATTCAAACTGTGCACTGCCTGTTAGGAAACCAGAACTTGCATTGAAATACGAACTTTGTGAATGTGATCAATGAGAAACTGGACACAGTTTATACACACAACCACGCACACACCGAGAGTGAGACAGAGACGGTATTGTCGATAGATAGGAAGAATAGCTTATCTGTCTCGACAATTGAATGTAATACGCATAGGCGCATTATGTGAATCGAGTGTAAAGGTAAA